TCAAACCCCCCCCCCCCCCCCCCGGGAGAACAAGATCAGTCAAATGCCCTACCCCAGGGCCAACAAAGACGATCAAATCCCCACCCCATGCCCTGCCTCCCCCCCGCCGGCTTTACATTAATAGGTGCATTAGTTTTTAGCATGTCAAATAGTGCAATTTTACGTTTTTTTGTGAGGCCCGGCCTTGTTAGATAACCTTTATAAGTTATTAGGAATCCCATTCCAGGTTTAGACGACAACACGCGAGAAAGCCTAGTACATAAATTAAATGTTCTAAAAACATCCCGCTATAAGTCTGGAATTCTTAACGCTAAAATGTTGATAAGCTGAGGAGCGAGTAGCGTAGGTATAGATACTTGGAGTTCTCGAGAAATGATTAAATTTCCTCGCGTGCATCTTACTCGCTTCCGATTGGTTCAAAGACAATCAGCTACTGTCACAGTTCACACATGCGCACTATCGTGACACAGTCCCTTTAATCGGTGCGGTATTGTTGTTGATACTGAATATTAAATCGCATACCGCTTTGTAACATAAGAAGGGGACGGGTAGAATTTTGGCTTTTATATTAAACAAGAGGATGGCGTGTTCATCCCTATCGGCTTTTTTGTTTTAAGAATAAGCAAACACTGGAATTACTTGCCCCGAAAATTCGCACTCGTTTGATGGTTCTTTCTACCTTAGAGTAATTTATTTTTGAAATAACAAAACAATTTCACAGCTGGATTTTGAGCGACTTTTAGTTACGGACTTCTGTTCCAACGATTTCTCTGAAATTTCTCTGGGATATTTATTATATCGATAAAACCGATACCAAACATTACAGTAAAAAATATCAGCAAAATGTTTTACTGGACTCGATTTCTTTTAAAAGTAAAGTCATTTTTAGTGCTAATTTCGCAAAAAAAGTATCACCAGCAATAAAATCGGAACACTTCACATTACCAGTGCCGAATGATATCTGTTGTTCTTTGCAAAGTCTCGAAGCCATCGCGTTAAAAACGAAAAAGTTATGACGAAAAGTTCGTCATAGCTCAATGCGCCTGTATTACGACGGGAGCCACCTTAAGTCATCCAAGTATCACTTACAAAATAAAGATTTTCATATACCCAGTTTAATATAATTAACCGGGAGTCCCCAACTGGCTTGTATTAGCTAAACAAAACGACACTTAAGTGAAGTTATGTTATGTCATGTTATGATCGCATACGCGCTTGACTAGACCGAGAATTCCCTTAACGCACAGTTCCTCTTAGACTTGCCTACAAGTCGAGCTCAAAGTCTTTCACGAGCACGAAGCGCGAGCGGTAGATTTTTTGTTTTCTGCGGCAAGAGAGAGCGAGACCTTCGCGCTGGGGCCAACTACCGGAACCGGAAATGAGAAGCGAAGGACTTTGAGAAAGTCTAAGTTCCGCTTTGTGAGTGGCTCAAGACAATTGATCAGTCACAGCCACCCCATGAAGGTCGAAGACTTCAGTAACAGACGCCAAGTTGTGGCCAGAGAGCTACAAGCTGTGTTGGGGTCGTCGACAAGATCTCTTCCTGCCTGGTCATATGTAAGACTTTACATTTGGCGGTGTTGAACTTAATGCCATGATCAGTGCTCCAGTAATGTAAACAGTCCAGGTCCGCCAACAGTGAGACGGGAGAATTTACAGTCAGTAGGGCGGAAGAGTTTGCTGCCGTCTATGAACAGGGCAATGCTAGACCCATGCTGAATGTAAATAGGCATGTCAATTGCATACACCAGGAAAAGAAGTGTACCCAAAAGGGAACCCCGTGGTACCCAAGATATCACAGGTAACCAGTTGCTTGTTGATTAAAACAATTTCTTGCCGACAAATTAAAGTATATGCCCGGCGCCTTGCAGCCCCAACCGTATACCTGATACTAAGCATAACAGGGAACTGAAATGGAACCGAGACTGAGCGTGACGCCAAAAAAGAGAGTGGAAGAACTAACAAGGTACTTGCATAGGGCCAGTTTTCCATTCTTTTCCAGTTGTCAGGATAAAGGCTTCCAGTGTTTTCCTAATGTAGCTGCACCTCTTCGTTGGGTATGCGCATGCAGCAGGAGCCGATTACCGGCATACAGCCATACCGAGTGATACCATGTCGTTTATCAGACATGATCGAAACAGAAGGTCTTAGCATCATTAAAATAGAGAGTGATACAAGCAAATTATGTGGGCTCCCTTTAGCGACAGAGTATGAGCAGGAATCCATAACACAATAGTGTTGCTGGTTGCCTGCTAGGGACGACGATCGGTGAGGTCATTTAGCGGGCTTCGACTTCTGGCTGCGTATGAAAAGCCGGAATATTGTGCAGCAGTAGTGACGCAAAAATGGTGATTCAGGTATAAGAGAGCAAAAACGTAGCAATGTCTTTGTCGTTTTCCATTATTATAGGTGATGTTATTTTATCCAGTAAGAAACGACTCTTCGAGTGATTGAATGCCGGGTACATTTTTCCAGGGGAGGATGAAAGCCGTATGGTCAGCCCGAAACTAATGAGAACGGTACAGCATTTCCACGATGTCGGACGTTATTTTCGTTTAGAATAAAGTTGTTTGACTGTCCACGTTCGGTTTACACATCTGCAACCCTCGATTCTGCCAGTTACTAGTCATCTACTTACGTGTCTCAAGTTCTATCTAATCTCGTTTGCTTTTCGCGTCGAGCTTTTTACTTCCTATTGGAGTCTGTCACAATTTTACCCACGGTGGAATAGCCTGGAGAATTACTCCGCTATCTTCGGTACACGTACCAGATTCAAATCGCACACCTCAGTGTACGCTCGCTTAAGAATAGAGAACACTTTATTCAGATAAAGGACACCGTTACCTCCTACAACTTCGACGTGTTTACAATCCCCGAGACGTGGTTGGACCATACTGTATCCAACCTGGAAGTCGAAATACTGGCTATGATATTTATTGAATTGATCGCCAAAATAAGAGAGGTGGAGGAGTATGCGCTTACATACGGCAAAGTTTCAAGGCTGAGGCTCTCAGCGAAATTTCTGGAATATCGGACACTGATCTCCATCAGCTGTGGATAAAGGTTCCAATGTGGAATTTAAAATCGTTTCTTATTTGCACGACCTACCGGCCTCCGGGATCGTAAATTACTTCTCTCGACACCGACCTAGGTGTTAACTTAATTTCTGCATCCCTTCTGAATAAACCAATCCATTTCTTGGGGATATGAACTGCACCCTGTTGCAGACTGTCCTACCTGATTCTAAAGCACTTATATGAACTTCTGTCTTACACACAATTTAAACCAGATAATCACTCAGCCAACTCGCGTAATGGATTCAACGATCTCTCTAATAGATATAATTCTTGTTTCAAGCACGAAGTAAGTCATGGAGGCTTAAGTCCTATCGCCATCAATAAGTGACCACGAGCTTGTTTATGTTTACTATGTTACACTAAGGCTGAAAAAGCAGCGAACCCCAGCTACGTTTGTAATCACCAGGACCTTCAAAAATTACTTTGTGCTCTTTAGAGAGTTTTTTGAACGATATTATTTGTGCACCTTGGTCAGTTCTGGATGGCTTCGATGATTTCGATAATCAACTTCACGCCTTTGACTAATTGTTTCATGAAACACTGGATGAACACGCACCTTAAAAACTATTCGTCTGCGTGGACGACCGAATCCCTATCTTACCGAGGAGATTTGCGATCTTATGGCAACAAGAGATGACTGGAAGTGTAAGTTTAAACAAACCAAAGATCCACTGGCTTGGTTACAAGAGCTTCTGCCAAGAGGTAAAACAGCAAACTCGCTTGGCCGAAAAGGAATTTTTGGCACAACAAATTAAACTATAACAAAAACAACACCAATACCATCTGGAAAGCAATTCGCAGTTGCAGACCAAAAAAATCTCCTCAAAGGACATAAAACATCGTGACCAACGAATTTAATAATTTCTTTGTTAACATCGGTAAGAACACAATTCAGAAAATCAGCTCTCTGGCTGAGCAGTTCCATTGTGAAGCACACGTTAGCTCGTTTGTCCACCGGGAGTACCCCGTATCTGAAAAATTCTTTTTTGATGCTAATGTGAATATCAACCAAGTAGAAAAGATCGTCAAATCCATGGCACGTAATAAGTCCGCTGGAAAAGATAAAATCCCACTCCGCGTTATTAAAGACTGCCTTCCTGCCATCTCGCCTTCAGTTACATCGATTATTAACGCCACTTTGCGCTCTGCCCAATTTCCCTTCGCTTGAAAAGTTGCGGAAGTGACACCAATTTTAAAAGACAGTGATCAGGAAATTCCTAACAATTATAGACCTATTTCATTGTTGCCCTTGCTTTCTAAGATTCGTGAGAGAGTCGCTCATGACCAGCTAACTCCCTATTTTGACAGCGAACCGACGCTTGACACCTAAGCAGCGCGGCAACAAGAAGTGGAACTCCACTGAGATAGCCTGTGTACAGACATCCTCCCTCCCGATTTTTTCTGAGGGAGGGGGGACGTCTGTACACAGGCTACGTGTAAACGTACTGGGAAAGGAAATTAAACCAGTCGCCTCTGCTAAGGACTTGAGGAGTTATCTTGGATCCCAGCCTGTCATATAACGATCACGTTGCTTCAACAGTGTCCTAGACTGCGAGCAGTCTCTTATTTTTTTTGCCAAGTTACCAGGGGTACCCAACGACTGTATCTGTATCTGTTCGGAGAAGCAAATATTGCCTAGAATATTCTATTACTTGAGGACGGCTAAAAATTCTAGACCGTTCCACTCATGTACAATTTTCGAAGCTTAATTATCTAATAAATTCCCTACGATTTTCCGCAGTTTAATTTTCGCATTTTACTTCCCAAGTTAGGCTTTTTTTCGTAGAAAAAAAGGAAACCCAAAATTTTCGGATTCAAAAATGTGATAGAGAGTGGAATTAGAAAATGTATCACTTTCGTAATACGTCAAATTTCATCTAAAATTTTTCGGGAAAATAATACTCAAGCCCTGGTAATTTCGAAAAGACTTAAATTCCCCTCAGATGACCGAACAGATACGAATTTTACAGCGCCGCTTAAAATGCTTTTCTAGAGATCTTAAAGTACTCTGGATAACCTGCCTAAAAAGTGTTTTCAATGTATTTAGGACGAAACCGTCGTTGGGTTCCCCTGAGTTACTGACGCAAAACACTAAGTACGCGAGCAGCGAAGCCGCGAGCTGCGATAAACAAGGGCGTAACGTTTTGGTTTGCAATCGTGCTGGCTAAGATAAGAACTAGACGGATTTTAAGAGAAAAGGTAGACTGCAAGCAGTCTAACAGTGTCCAGCTGCATGGCGCGGCTATGACAGATCAGCTGAGTTAAACACGCTTTCAACACGAACGCCTTAACCATTACAATAAATGCTCTAGTTTTCAGCAAGCTATATTACTGTTGTAATGTCTGGAGCAACAGCTTTTTCCTATTCTTGAAGATTTGCAGTAGCTACCAGTAAGACAGGAGCTCTTCTACCGTCATGCAAAAATGGCTTTTAAATGTGTTACTGGGTGTACACCAGACTCATTATTTTCTGTTTGTATTATACATTAGGGACGAATAAAGTACGATTGTATGTATATATGTATGTATGTATGTATGTATGTATGTTGCTTATAACAAAAGGCACATTAGGTTGAAATCGTTCGTGGGCATCATATCGTGGAGATCTGATCATGTACCCAAGCAGAGCAAGAACTTAAAAAGTAACTCAAGAAAATAACTGAAATATAGACTTCATAATTTTATAAAACCCGCCGAATCAATAACAGCATCAAATCAAAATCGACATCGTAACAATATAAACTTAAGCAAAAAACGTCTGTTTGCCTCGAGCGAACGATTATAGCACAGTAGGGAGCAGATAGGCTCGGCTTATTTAGTTGTAACTCATATCTAGTAAACTAAGATGGCAGTACATACTTCTGTCTCATATATATCACGGAAAAGAACGCAAGGTCATGTTGACAGAGACTTCGCCACTGACAGTTTTCTTTGTGGATTTCAGAGCTTGATCAGCCCAAGGATATTCGAAGAATCAGAAATGTGAATATGTTCAATCGACTTACTTCGAGTTTTAGAGTGCAGTTCAATATCTAATCAGTTAACTTTCTACTTTGCGTATACTGAACATATTGACGAGTGATTTGCTTTATACCTAGCTTGATTAGCTTTCTTTACCTAACAATCACGATGTCAACGTAAATGATAACCAAACACTGCGAGTCTTACGCTTGCATAATGGCAAAAATAGTGGTGTACTCTGATTGTGGCAACTGACTACAGACCACAAAATAGTGCAACTTTCTAGCTTTCTCCTTAGAAACCACCTTTTCTAAGACTGTCGCGTGTTGATGAAATTCTTGTAGCACTGATGTTATTAATTTACTTTAATTTTCACTCACTAGATTATCGTCTAAATATACTAAAAGGTTTAAATATTCAATACTCAACAGGGGGCTAAATTTCTTAGAATGGACAGTACCTGTGGGTCTTCCACAGTCCATGGTTTGAAGTTTCCCGTCATTTTCTAATACATCTGGAAAGAAAAAAAGACAAAACCAAGACAATCTGTATTTCTTCGGCAATTTAAGTCCCTGAAAATTATCTTGGCGGTAATATACTGCGTCCACTGCTAGTTTTCTAAAACAAATAACTATGTTAATCACCGGATGTACAGAGTAAATCAGCACGTAACAGGCAAATGCCTGCTCCAACTTAAATGCATCGTATGCCTGGTATTTTTCTAAGGAAGGAAGCAGACTGGGTGTTTCGACAATTAAATAAATGAGAGATGGTGAGCTAAGATCAAAGTCATTGGTATTTGTCGATGGCAGTTCGCAACACTGTGGTCCTTGCACTGAATAGTAGTCCATTCTGGGAACACTATCGACATGTACAGTATAAAAAGTTCTGAAAAAGAACTAACGTGTGTAGTAGCGTGATAGAATGTTAAATGCATTATAACAAGCAGGTTGTTTTGGTTGGATATCCCTCTCCCCGGCTGCAGCCAATAATTGTGTTTATCTCCCCAATGTGAATACACGTACCTATTCTAGGGAACTAATCATCAAGAATTCAGGAATCAGTCACGCACATATGATCAAACAGATGGGCTGATAAAAAGCAGTTGGAGGTTGCACTTCTAGTTCCTACATGCACGTTGAAAAGCATTACTGCATATTTACCTTGCTGTTTCTCTTAGCAAAATAACTTCGAGGAGGTGGCAACCTAAATTTCTGTGGCTCCAATCAGGAGCTGCTCTTATTAAAGGCTGCCATGTTTCTACAACGTGAAGTGTGAGAAGTCGACGGAGTAAAGCTGGTGGTAATGGCGAATAAACTCCTGTG